TGCTGTTGACCGAGGCGCCGTTGAATCCGAAGGCGAATCGCGAGAAGATGACACAAATCATGTTCGAGACCTTCAACACGCCCGCCATGTACGTGGCCATTCAGGCCGTGCTCTCACTCTACGCCTCCGGACGCACCACCGGCATCGTGCTCGACTCCGGCGACGGTGTCACACACACTGTGCCCATCTACGAGGGCTATGCTCTGCCACACGCCATTCTTCGTCTCGATCTGGCCGGCCGCGATCTCACCGACTACCTCATGAAGATCCTCACCGAACGCGGCTACAGTTTCACCACGACAGCAGAGCGCGAAATTGTGCGCGACATCAAAGAGAAACTGTGCTACGTGGCGCTCGACTTTGAGCAGGAGATGGCCACTGCGGCTTCATGTTCCGCCCTCGAGCGCAGCTACGAACTGCCCGACGGACAAGTCATCACCATGGGCAACGAACGTTTTCGCTGTCCCGAGTCGCTGTTTCAGCCCAGTTTTTTGGGCCTCGAGGCGACCGGTATCCACGAGACCACCTACAACTCCATCATGAAATGTGATGTCGACATCCGGAAGGACCTCTACTCGAACACCGTACTCTCTGGCGGCAGCACCATGTATCCGGGCATCGCGGATAGAATGCAGCGTGAGATCGCTGCTCTTGCCCCTAGTACCATGAAGATCAAGATCATTGCTCCTCCCGAGCGCAAGTACTCCGTCTGGATCGGCGGATCCATTCTCGCCTCACTCTCCACCTTTCAGCAAATGTGGATCTCCAAATTGGAGTACGACGAATGCGGTCCAGGCATTGTCCATAGAAAGTGTTTCTGAGAGAAAACTGCATTTTACAGGTCATCCCAACCAGCCTAGTTCTTATACTGCCATCTTTTCTCTACCTCCAGTTTAAGTCATCCTATTGTTTCTCAAAAGCCCTAGACCGTTTTGTCAAGACACGAAAAGACGATAGAGCTATTATGTAAAGCCAATCATGTGTTGCTACACCCAAACAGAGAGCATGTGTTCCGCGTGATATTTATAAATTACAGTGAATAATGCAGCAATATTTGTTAATTTATTTTTTAAAATTCTTCTTCCTTGTATTATGAGGCGAATAGTAACTTCATGTTGATCTCACATCCGCGGGAAATGATTTAAAGGTTCATCCAATCAGAAGATGGGATTGATCCCTACATTTCGGGTTTGACGAAACGAAGCTTGTTGCGCAAACGCATAGATAGTTAAAAATGTCATTATAATTTGTAACGTACTATAAGTATCTGCTTATATCACCGTTGTATTCGCACTTTTAGGTAACCAAAAGTCTGTATATAAAAAGTGAGGCACACATACACACAACCCCTAAATTGACACAACTTGAATTAACCAAACCTTCCTGAGCTCATAAAAATGAATAGGTGGGGATAAGTCATTTTGCCTTCTTGAAACCTTAACCTAAATTTGCTATGAAAATAATATCTTGGTCTGATGATGATGATGATGATAGATAAAAGCACATCTTGCTTTGCCTGATATTAGGGACAACGTTAACCAGACTGTTGCCGTGAATCTGACTTAGAGAAATCGCTTGGCATCGTTTGGAGATATCAAACTTCAAATCCAACTTCAGTCAAAGCGGAAATAAGCTTAATAATTGTGGATCAAGAGTTGCCCGGGAAACCAAATTTCTTTCGAGTATACCATAAATTTGATATTTTTGAAGATATGAAGATCAAGATGTTGTGTCTTCTGGTATGGTCGCAGTCTCCTTTCGATGCATAGAAGTGGAATGACATCATTTTCGCGACTTGGACGTGTTGTCAGGGCAACTTAGTTGGGCGCAACTCTTGAGGAGTATATTATAAACAAATCAGAATTCGTGATAGGGAGAAAGTAAAATATGATGGTAAGAAGGGCATAAATGGACCAAGACAAAAATAGCAGTGATAGCAAAACCTTTTCGGCAGAAAATTTGACCAAGAGATTGACTTCATTTGTCTCTGACGAGTTGTTGCATTCACTAAACTCTACTGCAT